AAAAAAAAAAAATCCAAATAAAGATCCAATTTTTATTCTACCTGCCCATGAAGATGCCCATATAGCAGCTCCGACAACCAGAAAGTACATTGCGTACTGCAAAAACAACAACATTGGCAAATATCAAATCAAAGAAAATGCAAACTTATTTTATTTTATTTTATTTTTTTACAGAAAATCAAGAAAGAAATCATACCTTCATAACTTCTTGCGACATTTTATCCACATTGTCGGCGTTGGACCCGAACGAATTTACAAGATCGGCGAAAAACCTAAGGAACAGGGGCAGAGAGCTGCCGTGGACCACCGCGCCGGCCGTGCCGACCGCCATCAGCAGGTAATCCAGCCCGTCCGCGAACCGGAAGAGCTCGACGAACCCCACCGCCGAGACGGGCTTCTCCTTTCCGCCGCCGCCGCCGTCCTTTCCATCGGCTATGGAGGCCTCCATCGCTGCCGGAGCTGCTTCAGTGCCGCCGTGAAAGTGGGCTTTACCGGCCTTTTGAGCTGACGCGACAAGCTCGAGTCTTTGAGCTTCAGACCATTTCCACTTCTCCTTCGTCGTCTTTATATCCCCACAATCTTGTTCAGCCATTTTATTTTATTATATATATTCCAAAAAATATTCAACCCACCATTTTTTGTTTCTCTATTATAATACAGTAAATGGAAAACCCATTGTCTCTTTCACATTGTTTTCTTGTTTTTCGCCTGTAAATTTTTTCTTTTTCAACTGATGGTGTTCATATGCGAGGCTCTTCTCATCTCTGTCACTCTCCCTTTTGGATGGGAAACAAAGCCTTTTTTTTTTTAAGCCAACGTTATCCGGAACTATGTCACAATTAATTCGTTGGTGGACCCGAATCACACCTAGTAGTAGTGGTGAGTCTCAGAAGGTTATTTTTAAGTGAAGTTTATGGTTATTTTCCCCTCTCTTCTCTACTTTAGTCATAATTTATCTATTTACCTTTTATTTTATGTTATATTTCTTTTTCCTCTTATCTTTTTTTATTAATAAATAATAAATATACATACTTTAGGTGTTCTAAAAAGTCACGAAACAATATAAAATAATATTTCATTGTAAAACTATGCATTTTTATTGTAAAGTTGTTAAAAACCAGTGATGCATGGGATGAGCGAAATTGTGGCATCTGGTCAAAGTTAAAACTTGGGAGGTCAAAGGTAAGAAAATCTTGTGTTGTCCAAATTGTTCATTCATCATTGTATATGCGGCCGATTTTTTGGCTTCTTTCGCGGCAGAAGGCTCTTTGGGGGTAACAGTTCTTTAACGAGTCATTGGATAGTATTCGTCGCTGGCTACAACATAATTTTATTGGCGTGATCTATCCACAAACCACCTGCAACTTAACTCGTTAAGCGTTTCTTTTCTTCCATTGTACAAAAAAAAAAAATCATTGTATGTCTCGTGTAAATCAGACGTTTTTACTTGTGTTTTGGCCTATTAATATTATATTAATTAATAATTACTATTATATTTTTATAATTATTTAGGTTGTTACAAGTAATATGTATATTTACCTATTAGATATTTATTCAATTTTACTCCGCATGCTAATATCATTTCTCAATAAACACTTTTTTGAATTTCATAAACATAATCATATACTTTATATCAACTATATGTCAAACTCTATTAATTAGGGGGCGGCAAAAGTACATTGTACTATTCGTAGATTAATTACTATGAAACTAAAAAAGTCATCTATATAAATATTTTTTTCTCTTTGAAGATAATGAAAAAATAAATATAATTTTTTGTTAGTTGAAAAATATGAGGGTTAATAGAAATGAAATTTATTTAAATATGTGTAATAAAGATTGTTTTATATTATATAACTAGTACAATGTCCGTGTATTACACGGGTGGTTGCTAATTTTCTTCTTAAGATCTAAAATTAATGAGAAAAAATAGTTGAAAATTTAAATACCTTTCGTAAGCATATATATATTATTATATATATAGTATGACACTTTTATTTGTGCGACATACTTGTGTTATATTATAATAATTCTTTTTAACGTACAACATATAACTACATTAAACATAAATATATCAATTGAAAAATAATTATATTTTTCTAATGAATTTTAATAAATATTGTTATTTTTTTATTATTATACGATAAATATAATTTATTTATTTCATATATACAATATGGATGTCAAATCGAAGATCATCAAAAGATGATTAATTTGATATATTATATATGTAAAACCGATAAGAAATACAAAAGTTATCAATTTTTAAGATACATTTACAATTCAATAGCTAATTGAAGGAAACAAATCAAAAGTTAGGGATATATTAATCATTTAGTGTCTCACTATGCAAAATTACAAAGAATTAAAGGGTTATATTAGTACAAGTGATATTAAAATACCTAAGTTAGCTAAATAATATTTATGGAATGTCCGAACCTAGATTATTATTTATTAATATATCAATATTATTTGTCCAAACCTAATTACGAAGCTTGATTCTTCGCCAAATAGGATTCCGAAACACCAGAAACAGCCACGTAGGCTCAGCGCATTCGGGAATTATATATAAGATAGGATATAGGAGTGATTATGTCAATAAGATCGAGTGAAAAATAATAAAAATAGATAAATAGTAAATTTCACCCAAAAAAAAAAGTATTTAATAGTAGATTTGGTGGGAAAAAAAAAAATATCTAGCAAGACGAAACATGAATTAACTTAATATATCCAAACATGCAATCTAGATAATATATTTTAATTTTAATTACGTGGAATGTATATCAAGAATTAAATAAATTTGTATTGACTAACAAGATATAATAAACTTTCGGCACGCCATTTTCAGAATTTTGCAAAGTAAAAATTGGGTTGCATGAGTCAGCTGCTTTACATATGTAGGATTTTTTGGGGCAAATAAACAAATGCTTAATTCAGCTTTTAATCTGACCTTTTTTTTTCAGTAATTATTTGAAAACCTACGTGGTAATTGGTAAATTTTGCAGCGTGACTATAAAAAAATTGTTATATTAATCCAACGAAAAATCTTATAGTAATATATTATCACGAAAATTTTAACGAATATTCCAATAGTATAGATTCCGTTTGAATGATTCCAACGGAAGTTCCAACGAAAATATTCTGTTGGAATGTGTTTTTTATTAGAATTTTAGATGGAATTTGATGAATCCAACAATTATATTTCTAACGCCTTTTTACTGTAGGAATTTATATTGAAATACGCAATTTTCGTTGGAATTTTATTTCCAGCCCCGTTAGAAAGCCCACCGTTTGAATAGTCAAAATCCAACGGAAATTCCAATGAAACGTTCATTCTAACAGAATATTTTTGTTGGAATTTCGTTGAATTCATTAAAAAATTCTAACGGAAATAATATCATTGAAAAATATTCATTAGAATTGTTGTTGGAATTCTATTTGAATATATTTCCGTTTGAATTTCATCATATGAGATGGCTTGGGTCTCTTTTAGCTTAACCAGTGGTCTCGTGTTCGAGTCCTGGGAATGCAGCAGTGTTAAAAACTCTTGAGGGAGAGTTTTGCCGCCCATGTGGTCCTACCCGGCTCGATTCCGGATTAGTCGGTTCTCATGTGGATCTAGAAACAGGAAGGTCCATGTACAAAAAAAAAAAATAAAAATAAATAAAATGATGTGAATTTAATTGGCAATGTTATATTATTGCATGTCCTATTTAGCTATATTATATTATATGGAGTCGAATTCAGAGCTTAATTAGCAAGGAGAAAGAGGCTGAACTTAATTATTAGCTCATTTAATTAACGAATTGAGCTCGACCAAGGTCAATGATCACTAAAAGTTCGTGTATGAACTTGAGTATCAGGAACTCGAATTTGGTTTAACTCGTTTATAGTTGTTTAAATATATGGAATTCGAAACAAGCTAATAATTTCAAGCTTAAATTAAATATTTTGTTCGAATTATACGAAAAGATAAAGGAGGTGTGGAAAATCAAGGAACTATCATCATATTAATATATTCAAATTCATCTGGAAAAGTGAATAAAGCAGTAATTATAGTTATAGTTGGCCTGCAAAAAAAAAAA